TTTCATTTCAATATCAGCCTCGGAATCTGTGGGCTTATCAGACGTATTAAAAGGGCCCATCGATGGAGAATCTTTATAAAACAAGTGAGCCCACCAATACTTATAAATTTTTCGTCAATTACATATTGAACAATTTTTATTATTTTGTAAGTATATTAGTTCACAATTTTTATTTTTATTTAAATTTCAGACAGCAGGCCTTAGATATCAAGTCTTGATCTGGTTTGTACACTTGTACACTGACTTTTTATCATAAAATTTAGTAACGAAATATGATCACAATTCACAAAATTTAATAACCAAAATATGGTTACCAGTTTTTCGTAATTTGGAACTTTAATCGAATATTTTAAATGTAGATATAAATTATATGGAATTTTAGCCTTTTGTAATCCCTTTCAAATATTAATGCAGAATGTCCCGATCTTCCATGTCGAATTATGGTGATTTGCAGTAGTCCATGTAAATCTACATCTACATTGAATCCATACTTGTTTGGACTTTTAAAATTATAAAACAATTGACTACCTATAAGTTAATACATTTTTTATTCTTTATAAATTTTCATAAATAATATATCAATCAGTTATCCTTGGATGAGTTTTTATTGCATATATAAATAAAAAATAATTTTATTTATTGTGAAATTAAATCATCTATTAATACTAATTGGAAATTAATAAAACTATATAGCACAAAAATTTATTTATGAATTCATTACATATGAATTAAAAAATGTTATAATATATTAATTGTACAAATGAAAAATCTCATGTTAAATAATTATTTAAAATACGTTCAACTTTTTTTAAAAAAAAAAAAATTAAGTATATTATATTCAGGGTCCGATTGGTTGGAAAGGGCTGATTAGGCTTGGTACAATATTTTTGATTGTATCAAAGGCTATTAAATAATTCAACTACCCCATTAACTTATTTGGTTGTGGGTTAAGAGCATCTCCAATGGTATCTTGTCTATTTTGAGTTGCATGACATGAAAGAAGGAGATTAAAACATTGTGTCTCCAATGGTTAAGGTTAAAAATGGTTTAATCTGACATGTGTAATTTTATAATTGGTTGAAAAAAAAAAAAGAAAAAATTGAATAAATAATATAATATATAATAGAAGTTGTCTAGAAGTACTTCTAGATCTAGAAAGACTTCTAGAATTTTTTTAGGCCACCTAGGATTTTTTGTGCCATGTGGCAACAAAATGGGGCAATCCAAAAGCTATTGGAGATGCTCTAATAATTATAACTTTTGAACCAAGATTACATTTTACCCCTAATTTACAATTAATTTTCAAATCTTGCCCTATTTTTTTCCCCACATTTCGAGACCTTCACCCTTACTGTCAATGTCGAC